CGAACCCAGTGCTTCCCATGTGTTAACCAGTTTTCTAAGGGAACTGAGACACACGTTCCAGAGCTGTTCACTAATATTGCTTGGTGAAGAGTCTGAGGTGACTGTTTTGTTTTTAGTATCAGAGCAGTAGAAGCTCTTGGCTAAGTGTCACCTGACTCTCCGTTCTCATCAGAAGACTATTTGTGTTAAATTTTCTTATAATTTGATCTGTGAAAACCTCATTTTCTCTAATTCTTCTCTAATCARCTAGGAGTTCCCCTGCCTATCATTTCTTTGTAATATTTTTTATTCTTTAGCCCACATTATCATCTTTCTCCTGTTCTAATTAATTACGTTGAAAAACACCAAGCAAAGTATAAGAGAGAGGAATACTTTAAAAAAGAGAAAAAGTCCTTTGTGTTCATCCTTTTTGAAATGAAATTACCCTTTGGATTATTAACTGATTTGGAAGCATCATATTTCTTAGCATAGTAGTTTGATCTGTTCTTGAAAATCTGCTTATTTAACTAATAAAATAAATAGTGATAGGTAATTCAGTTGTATGCTCATTATGACCAAGCTGGTATTTTAAAGCTTAATGTTCTACTCAAATCATTTTCTCTGTTCATATTTATAAGCGAAGTAGCTCCTGTGTGCTAATCTGATTTTCTTCCTGTGTTATTGGATCATACAAGTAAAAATAGCTTTTTGTTCTCTATTTAAAGTCATTTGGAGAGAGAGAAAGAGAGTGTTTGTGTGTTTGGGTTTATTTCTTGTTTGTTGTTTGAGRTAGGGTCTTGCTAAGTTGCCAAAGCCAGACTTGAACTTGTGATTGTCCTTACTCAACCTCCCATGTAGCTTGGATTGCAGGCATAGACCGCTGTGCCCAACTTTGAATATGTTTTAAGTAGTTTCTTTAGGTGTCTGAAAATGTTATTTGGAAGGATTTTTTGTAGAATTTTTTGCATGATTGCAAGTGGTTAGGTGTTTGTAGGTTTGCTCTTTTTTGTTTTCTTTCCCCCCCTTTTTWAAAATGTATCTAACTGCTGTCTCTAAATCCTGAAGCAGTTAGATGCTCCTAAAYTAAATTGTTCATCCTGATTACTTTCTTTTTTTAAGAGTCTTGAGAGCTTTATTTTATAGCTTTTTTAATAATCATTTTGGTTGAGACCAGTAGAATTAGACACACTAATATTTGCGTCTGGTTCATTTGTTCCTGAAGTCAACTAATTCATGTCTCTGTTCCTTTTCCTGTAAAAAGAGGATAACAGTGGTGCTTACTTTATAGATCTGTGGTGAGAAATAAATGAGATAAAAGGTAACACAATGAGATAAAAGGTAACACAAAACAAATACGTAAATATTAGCTTTTATTATTATAGACTAGGGGGGTTAGTAAACATTTTCCGTAAAAGGCCAGATGGTATGTCCTTTAGGCTTTAAAGGCCAGTTTGTCACAGCTACTCAACTCTGCCTTTACAATGTGCATGCCTTTACAATGTGCATTTACTATGTTAATGACGAGCCAGGCCATGTTCCAATAAATCTCTTCATGAAAACAGTTTGCCATATTAGGCTTATAGTCTATAGTTTGATGACCCCTGTTCAAGACTAATAAAAACTAAAAAAATCTTAAAAATGTATGGAAAACATTAAGAGTTCAGTATAGCTCTTCTGTAAAATGAATTATCAAGAGAATTTAGGTAGATTAAAAACTTCAGTTTACAACCTTAGACATTTAAAATTTCAGTGTCTTAAGACATGTTTTGTCAGTTAACATATTTTATAATGAAAATCTCAACCAGGAACCATTTTAAAAAAACAGTATTTATTGACCTTCACAATTTTTGTTATTAACCCTTTGTGTCTACAAATATGAAAACATTTGGGCAACTTAAATGCCCTTCTATAGTATATAGGTTGATTAGTTTTGGTATATTCACAAAATAGAGTACATACAATATAAAAAGAGAGTAAAGAAGCTCCTTATGTATTGATATGGAATGATTTCCAGAATATGTAGTTAAGAGCAAAAAGCAAGGTGCAAAAAGAATGCACGAGTATGTTGCTTTTTCTATAAGTAATAAACAATGACAACAACAAGACAACCAAGCATTTCTAGATCCCTAAAAACCCATTAGTGGAGAATATCCCAACATGTACTCTTCCCTTACTACCTTAAAAACAGTATATAAAAAATAATCTAGGACTGGGGACGGGGGTAGTAGTATTGTACTTGCCTAGGATGTATGAAGTCTTGAGCTCAATTCTCTGGTATTGCAGAAAAGAAAAAAGGTCTAACCTTTAAGGCAAAACAAAACAAAACAAAAAAAATAAGTTTTGGAGGCCTGGAATTTGGGCAGGGCTCGTATTGATGATTGTTTTGCTCCGTATATTACCAGATGGGGCCCTTAAGTTTTTTCCATCTAGTAGATGGGCTACTCTGGGCCATCTGAGATGGATCATTCACGTATCTGATACCTTGCCAGGTAGAAGGCTGAGCTCATCTGAAACTGTCTTACATGTGGCATCTCTAACATGCTAACCATTTTTTTAAAGAGAGAGTGAGAATGAGAGGGGGGGAGGGAGGGGGGAGGAAGGGAGGGAGGGGAGAATTTTTTTWAATATTTATTTTTTAGTTTTCAGCGGACACAACATCTTTGTTGGTATGTGGTGCTGAGGATCGAACCTGGGCCGCACGCATGCCAGGCGAGCGCTCTACTGCTTGAGCCACATCCCCAGCCCCTGCTAACCATTTTTTAATTATTATTTTGCAATACTGGGGATTGAACCTAGGGGTGCTCTACCACTTGAGCTACATACCCATCCCTTTTTATTTTATTTTGAGACAGGGTCTCACTAAGTTGCCCTGCTGGCCTCAAACTTATGATTCTCATACTTCAGCCTCTTAAGTAGCTGGAATTACAGGCTGTGCCACCATGCCTGGCTGCTAATAGTTTTTTTTAAAAAAATGAAATGACTGTGCTGCACATGATGGTGCATGTCTGTAGTCCCAGTGACTTGGGAGGATGAGGCAGGAGGATCACAAGTTCTAGGCCAATCCCAACAATTTAGCAAGACACTGTCTTAAAATTAAAAGTGAAAGAGGCTGGGGATGTAGCTTTAGTGGTAGAGTGCCCCTGGATTCAATCCCTAGTACCATAATAAACAACAGACAAACAAAACACTAATCCCCGCAACTCAGGAGGCTGAGGCCCAAAGGATCACAAATTCAAGACCAGCCTCAGCAACTTAGTGAGACACTGYCTAAAAATAAAAAGGACTGGGGATGTGACTCTGTGGTAAACTACCCCTAGGTTCAATTCTCAGCAAACACCCCCCACCCCCGCACCCCTGCCCTGCACACCAAATAAAAGACATGATGTTGTCATTTTGAATCTCATTTCTTCTCTTCTTGGGTACATGGGCTATAGCTTGTACTCCCCAGAATTATGTTGAGTGTGTTTTTTGTTTTTTAATTTTTTGCTGCATAAGCAGATTCTCAGCGGTGGGGGAGGGGTCTGGAACAAAGCACTTACTGCACAGATGACATCTTACTCTATGGGGCACTTAACTTGCTATGTATAAACTGCCTTGCTAGTCACAACTAAGTGCTGTATAAGAAACTTAAAATATGCCTTAAAAAAGAAGGAGGGGCTGGGGTTGTGGCTCAGTGGTAGAGCGCTTGCCTAGCATGCGTGAACCCAGGCCCTGGGTTCAATTCTCAGCACCATATATAAATAAGTAAAATAAAGGTCCATCAACAGCTAAAAGATATTAAAAATAAATAAAGAAAGAAAGATGGAAATTTGGGCTGGGGTTATAGCTCAATGGTAGTGCACTTGCTGGTACGTGTGAGGGCATTGGGTTGGATCCTCAGCACCACATACATACATACATACATGCATACAAAGGTATTGTGTCCATCTACAAGTAAAACAAAAACTTTTTTTTTTTTAAAGAAATTCTGCAGTATGTGACAACATGGATGAATCTGCAGGAAGTTATACTAAGTGAAATAAAATAGTTATGTAAGGACAAATATGTACGATTCCACTTATATCAGRTATCTTAAATAATCAAAACTCAGAGAATGAGGGCTTGCTATACAGCAGGTGTAAAGTTTCATTTATGCAAGATGAATAAGATGTTACGTAGTATTATGCCTATAGTTACCAATACTGTGTTGTCCACTTAAATTTTTGTTAAAAGGGCAGCTCCCATGTTAAATGTTCTTACTACATTTTTTTTTTTTTTAAAGAAATGACTTAGCAATTAACCATCTTGAGGGGGGAAAAGTAACATCAGAACCTAATGAATTTTTTTCTGCTTCTGTCCCCCTTCCATGGGTTCTTGGTAAGATAGTAAATGGCAGAGTATGGGGACAGATCAGGCACTAGAAAGGGACAGGTTCAGTGGTGACTGCTGTTGAAAAAGGGGCTGGTAGACTTGACTTGAAGCTTTGTATGACAAGCCCCTCCCCCCCTTTTGCTTGAATTGTGTTTATCTGAAGCGACTCATGATGTGGCAGCTGATGTTCCTCCAACTCTTCTATCACTGTGCAAATTAGGGGATCATATAAACATTCCCTCAATTCCCTATCACCATCACACCTTGGAGTTTCTGGGAGGGCCTTTTCATTCTTTTTTTTTTTAATATTTATTTTTTAGTTCTCGGCGGACACAACATTGTTGTTTGTATGTGGTACTGAGGATCGAACCCGGGCCACACGCATGCCAGGCGAGCGCAGTACCGCTTGAGCCACATCCCCAGCCCCTGCCTTTTCATTCTATACTATATAATTCTGCTATTTCTCTATCAGCCTCTTGATGGTTATAGTTCTAAGTTGATAATTTTGAGTCCTTTGTCTTTGCATCATATTTAGGTATATAAAGCTCTCCAACCTTAACTGTAGATGGGGTAATAGTACCTACCTCAGTGTTGTGAGAATGCTTCAAGTGCTAAGAAAATGTTAGGTGTTATTGTTATTGGATAAATGTCTTTCAAACTTCCTTTTTCAGAAACTGATTCAGCAGGACAGAAGGAACATAGAAACCAGACTCCTGCTCCAGCTGCAACTCAAACTTCTGCTCCCTCTAAGTACCACCGATCTAGGTCTGGAGGAGCCAGGGATGAGCGATACAGATCAGGTAAGAAGGAACTACAGAAATTATCAACTCAGTAGTTTTTACTGATCATAGTGTGAACTGTGTATTCTGAGAGCTTCTAATATTTGTTCTATTTTTTTTTTCCCTTTAGGCATTAACAGGTCTATATCAATTCATTCATCAAGCACTTATTTAGTACCTACTATGTGTCAGGTGTAGTAGATACTCAATATTTGGTGATGATAAAGCAACATTTAAGACCATTTCTGCCCTTAAGGAATTAAAGAAGAGCCAGAGCCAGGCATAGTGGTGCATCACTGTAATCCTAGATGTTCAGGTGGCTGAGGCAAGAAAATCACAAGTTTGAGGCCAGCCTGGGCAACTTAGTGAATAAGCTGGGAATATATAGCTCAGTAGTATATGCACTGAACCCACTGGTAACCTGGGTTCAATCCCCAGTACTGGGGGAGGTAGGGTGGGGTAGAGAAGAAGAGAAAGTGAAGAGTTAGGTCATGTGGGTTGGTACTATGAGAGGTTAGATACGTATATACATAAAATTTTATACATGGGATATATAGCTCAGAGGCAGAACACTCCTGGGTTCAATTCCCACTACCACAAACAAGCAAGCAATACAAGAGTTAGCTAAGGAAATAGCACAAGATAGTAGACCCAAAAATAACTCTTCATGGCCAGAATTTAAGAATGTAAGGATTAGAAAGAAGTGGGAGGTGAGGCCAAGAAACATTATAAGAAACCAAATCTTCAATGTCATTTAGGTTTTGTAGCAGATAAGTAACCTAATCAGGTTTTTATTGTTCTTGTTGCTCAAATCCAGTTGCAAACTGCATGCTCTATCACTGCTGTGTGCCAGTGTTAAGTAGATATTTTAAAGAAAGGAAGGAGTAAAAGTACTTATTAAGTACTTATTAACAGTGGATTAGAGGAACGAAATACTGGAAGTAGCAAAGCGTGTTAGGAGCTCCTGTTTGTTGCCAAGTGCCCAAGTCTGAGTTCCTAAGTTCTCAGTGTTGCCTCTTCAGGCTGGGCCCAGGTCCAGAAGCAGCATGTTCTAACTAGTTTAGAAGGGTTTTAGCCTTTACAACTATTATCTCTGGCCTTCTGAGATACTTTGTGTTTTCCCCCTTGGTTTTTCTTTTTTCTTTGTTTGTTACAGCACATAATAAGAGGATTAGTAAGGAACTGAAAAGATTATATTGTGTGTCCAAGATGATCATATATAGAAAAAGGTATTTAGTATTATAGAGTTTTGATTGTTACCTACAAAAATCMATCTGTGGTCTCTGACCTCTTTCTCTTTTGTACCAGTTCTTTCAGATTATGAGAAAGTGAGTTTATGAATCATATACTAGTCAGCAGGCTGTGGAGACAAGGTTGTGTAAGGGTACTAATGAGAATTTAACAGTCAGGTTTGGGAGTTTTTTCACTAGGACTTTTTTTTTGCACATGTGGGGAGGTACTAGCAAGAAATAGGCCAGAAAGTGTGGTGGTAGTGGTGGTGGGGCTGTGATGAAGGAACAAAAAAGATGAACTGTTGAAAAAGGCTGAAGATACTGAAAGTTATGAGAGTGTTGTAATACTCTCAGTGAATGGGAACATGAAAGGGGCATGCAAGCACTGAAATATTTGGTGGGGAAAAAAAATCACACTTTTTCAATCCAGGAATTTCAACTAAACAGCAATGAAAGCTCAGCACATTGGAGAAATTGATAGTCTGGGAGAATTCTGGCCTCTCTGAAACCAACAGCGGCTGCAGAGTTGAAACAAATAAGTTGCAGAGGTTGATGGTAGTTGAACTTTCACTTCTCTACTATTCTGGTCATGGGAAGGGTTACATTTACGAATCACATGCAAACATAGGTTAAGAACATAGGATATGTTTAGTGAAACTTGCAAGATTTCAGAAAAAAAGTGATGGGYAAACAGGAAGTGTTTAATAATAATAATGTCCCAGAGTGCAACTGGAAAATGCTCTTTTAGTTAGTGGATGCTTGTTAACATCTATACCATATCAAAGGATCAAAATAAAATCTGCATACATTCAGCATTTCATGTTTCAGGCACTATTGTAGGCTTATATATTTATTCAGTGTTTAGGCCATCTGATTTGTTTCTGTTTCTTTTCTTTTCCCCCTGGCACCAGGGATGTAGCTCAGGGCTCCACCCTTGCTAGGGCAAGTGCTCAACCAGTGACCTGTATTCCCATCCCTTTTTATTGTATTTTGAGATAGGGTCTCATCTGATTTTGTTCTTTGTGCTTAGCCAAAAGAGACCTTATATTTCAATATGTTACCTATTCAGTATCTCTTTTTTCTGCACAGCAAGGCACCCATGTATGGCATAGTCTCAAKCATAGAAAACACAATTAATGCTTAAGATGGAAATTGATCTTGGTTTAAACCATTCTGAATATTTTGATGTTAATCTCTTGAAAAATTAGCTATTCCAATGAAAACAACAAAAGGAAAACAAAAAAGGACTTTGAGGATATATTTGTATCGTTCAGCTGAAATGTTTGTATTGAAAAATAATACCCAGCTTTCACTTGCTTCTAGCAGAGAAGTCTAAAGTCATCTTTGTCTGGGGATTGAACTTTGGAAGTGATTTCTTTATCAAATATGGATTGTATGCTGGTGAATGAATCTAAGAGGCTGCCAGTTCTTATCTGACACTAACATTTGGACATAGGTTTATCATGTCAGAAAATAGTTGTGGTTTGATTTGTTTTATGATCTGATGCTGTGAATCCTTATGGTGTGGAAGAACATGCTCTGTAATTATTATCAGAATATCACAGGCTTTCTAAAGCTTTATCAGTGAATAATTTCCTAGCTTTTTAAAGTTTGCTATCATATGTTTCATATCATATGTAAAAATACTTTGGGAAATGTACTGTTTTTAATTAGATCAAATGTGAGCATTTGATTTGCTATTTTCTGTTATTGAAAAAGTGCTTTTTCGGAGGACTTGGTGATGTATACTTGTAATCCCAGTGGTTCCGGAGGCTTAAGTAGKAGCATCTCAAGTTTCAAAGCCAGCCTCAGCAACTGAGCAAGGACTTGAGTAACTCAGTGTGACCTTGTCTCAAAATAAAAAATAAAAAGGGCTGAGGATATGGCCCAGTTGTTAAGTGCCTTTGGGTTCAATCCCTGGTACCTTCCCTCCCACACATAAGAGTAATAGCTCAAAAGTGTGGCAATATCTTTAAAACTTTAGATATTTATACTCTTTAACCTGGAAATTTTACATTTAGGAATTTGTTTTATACAGATACCAAYATATGTACACAAGGATGTTTGTTGTAGTATTGTTTAAAATAATATAGTGGTTAAACAAATTATACATATGTGTACATAGTGGAATTTCTAGGAAGGCTGATTTTTCTTCTTGTTTTTTTGTTTTGTTTTGTTGTTGGTAATGGAGATCAGATCCAGGGTCTCATGCATGGTAGGCTWGCAGTATACCCCTGAGCTGCATCCCTAGCTATAGGAAATTTGTTTTAAAAGAAAAACTGAGGTAGACCTGTTTGTACAGATATGAAAAGATACTCAGAATATAATTTTTTAAGTAAAAAAGGCAAGACAATATGCAGTATGTGGTCTGATTTTTGTAAAAACTAATAATGTTATTGTATACATTTGTATTCAAATACAACGAAACCTGGAAAAATATATACCAAACTATTGAGATGAGATATTTTTGGGAGGTGCTGGATCTAGGAACATTTTTCACTTTGGCATATGTTGGTAGATCTTTTTGCATCATATACAGTTTTATTGTGGTAAATACATAAAATTTATATATGTTAATCATAAACAAAAATAATAAGCATAGGCTTTTAACGTGACAGCCATGGATTAATGATTTAAAGTTTTAAATATGATGATGATGATGATGATGATGATGATGATGATGGTGGTGGTGGTGTAGTAATTGAACTCAGGGGCACTCTACTACTGAGCTACATTCTCATCCAATTTTTATTTTTTTAATTTTCAGACAGGGTCTTGCTAAGTTGCCTAAGCTGGACTTGAACCTCTGATCTTCCTGCCTCAGCCTCGAAGTTGCTGGGATTAGAGATGTGCACCACTGCTGCCAGCTTAAATCAGTTTTTGCATTAAATAACTTTTACTTCAGGTTTAGATTCCTTTGACTTAATGCTGGGAACTAAATGCAAGGATAACTTTATCAACCTAGTTGTGGACTTTTATCTTTGTCCAAATCTGATCCCTAATCTAGTGTGACATTTGCTAAAGTGGCCTGTACTAGTGCTACAGGATCCTTTTCTTCCTATATTAATATATTCCTTATACAACAGAAGGTAAATGAATTTGGTGCATTTTTTGTAGACCTCCCATGATTTGAACACAGTTTTAGATGCTGGAAAAACACAGATTAAAAACCTAAGAGTCCCTTTTTCAATGCATATTCTACACAGTACAGGGTTTAGAAGCAGCATCAAAGAGGGAGGTAGAGGAAGGCACACAATGTTAAACATCTGTAAGTGGTATTATCTGAGCCATTCTGAAGGATGAATAGTTGTTTGCTATGTAGATATTTTAAGCAAAAGAAACATAATGTGTGAAGGCATACAATGTAAAATATATATTGTACTTTATAAATAAAATTCCACTCCCCTTCCTGACTCAGCATAGAGTTAAATTTATTTATGGAGCTAGAAAACTAACTTTTGGAATTCATTTGGRAAAAATGTAAGAATAGCTAGGAAAATACTTGAGAAAAGCTCTGGGAGACTCATAACTGCAAGGTATTGAAATATACTACAAAGGCTCTGTAATTCAAACAGTGTGGTATGCCATATAAATTGGCAGGCAGAACATTCGATAGAGCAAGAAGTTCAGAAATTGACCAAATTGACCAAAATACACCTGAGAACTCAGTATATTACATAGATAGAATTGTAAATCACTAGGGCAGAAATACTCTTTTTAACAAATGACGCTAAGACATCTAGAAAAAGATTAAGTAGATCCATATCTTACACTGTATACATGCATGAA